GGGAAGCAAGGAGTGTGCAGGGGCAGAGGCACAGGGCTGGGAGGCAGGAGGTGGCCAAGGTGGTAGAGATGAGACATTTGCAATTTAAAGAAAGGTGGCAGTCACATCCCCTGGGTAGCTATACCTGCTTGCCTTACATAAAAAGCAATTTTAGGAGAGGTATTGATAGATTGTACAGACCAAGGCAATATGTTAACAGTATGTGAAGAAAAGGTAGGGGGTGTCTGTGTCAAGCCAGTTCTCCATGAATAGCCTCATGCTCCTTGCCAAGCCCCTTGTAGGTGCTTCCAAATGTCCCTCAGGGAGTTCAGATAACCCAGGTAAAAGCTGTTTCCAAGTGGAGACCTGCAAGCACTTACCTTCACTATTCGTTCCAAGTATCTGTCCTGTCCTTCCACTCTGCCTTTCTAACCTGTGAAATCATGGTGTGAGAGCAAAAGACAGCGAAATCTGCTACACTAGGTCCCAGCAAAACAGCCCCCTTGGCAGTCTGTGCCAAGCAGGCAGTGCTGGTTGTTGACACATGGGCACCTGGCTGCTCCTGGCCTCACTGCTGTCTCTCCCAGCCCCAGGTGCCCTCCAACATGAGGCTCTCCTGGGGGCTCCTCCTGCTCGCAGCAGCCCTAGAGGGGGTGGCCGCCGCGCGCTGCCCGGCACCCTGCGTCTGTGACAACCTGCGTGCCCATGTACTGTGCCTCAATGGCAGCCTGGGGGCCATCCCTGACACCATCCCACAGGTGGGCAAGGGAAAGGGCGAGGGATGGGGAAAGGAGGTAGGGATGGCAGCCCTGGGCTAACTTGGCATTTTATTTGTGTGACTGACAGCTTACCAGAAAGCTAGACCTTCGAGGCAACAGCTTCACGGTCATCCCAGCAGGAGCCTTCCATGCCACTCCATACCTCACACACTTAGACCTGCAGCACTGCAAGGTGGAGAGGCTGGAGGAAGGGGCTTTCCGGGGACTGGGGAGGCTGGTCTACCTTAACCTGGCCTCTAATGGCATAGCCTTTCTCTACCAGGAGTCCCTGGATGGGCTGTCTTCCCTCCAGCAGCTCAGCCTGGAGGGGAACCGCATTGAGGAGATCCAGCCAGGTGCTTTTGGCCATCTGGGATCCCTCACTGTCCTTGACTTGAGGGCAAATGCCTTGGTCTACCTCCCAGACATGGTCTTCCAGGGTCTGCAGGTCCTTAGATGGCTCCGGCTGTCCCACAATGCTCTCCACGTGCTGGGCAGTGAGGCCTTTGCTGCCCTGCCTGCCCTGCGCAGGCTGAGCCTGGACCACAATGAGCTGCAGGCGCTGCCTGGCGAGGCGCTGGCCAGGCTGGATGCAGCTATCCGGCTGGACCTGGGCCACAACCCCATCACCTACGTGGCTGAGGAGGCCCTGGCCATGGCCTCGCTGAAGCACCTCTTCCTGGACCATGCCTCCCTCCAGGACGTGGCCCCTGACGCCTTCGCCCGCAGCCCTCAGCTGCGCATGCTGGACCTCCGTGCAAACCAGCTGCAGGGGCTGCCGCCCCTGGCCGGGGCCGGGGGGCTGGCGAGGGTCAGCCTGGATGGGAACCCTCTGCTCTGCTCCTG